AAACATTAAAAAATGGTGTATGTCACTGGACTTGGGCATAAAAGCCTGTACATCCAACTACTCAGAGCTTGAAGCTGGGGACCACCCGAGTCAGGAATCACTGCCATCTAGGCAATGTAGCATGACCCTGTCTCAAGAACATAAAAAGGCATATGTGCAAATATGCTTGTATAAGAACATATTAAGACTGATTACAGGGACTGTCTGAAGAAGGCCCTTGAAAGACTAAGGGTTATGAAAGAGAAGACTTCCACATTTTGTATATATTATTTTTCATTTTAAAACTTCTTATTTTGAAATAATTTTGAGTTTCCAAGATAAAGTTCCCATATACCCTCGACCCAGTTTAACATCTTGTAAATCCCTGATAACGTCTGTAAGAACCAAGAAATGAACACTGGTGCAATATTATAAATGAAACTACAGATTTGATTCAGTTGAGGACTGTTCCTATGGATCTTGTGCCCCAGGATATAGCCTGGATGTCTCAAAGCACTTAGTGAACATACTTTCCAACTGCTTAAATTTTATCCTGAGCATGAAAATCTAATCATTTTTCCTGAGCATGAGTTACTTTTAAAAGCCTAAACATTTTTTAAAAACTAAATGTGCATGGGTGCAGTGGAGGATCCCTGTGAGCCCAGCAGCTCAGGAGGCTGAGGCAGAAGGATCATAAGTTATTTTGACATAGAGTCTAAGTTGCTGAGGATCTTGCTGTTGAGGCTGACCTTGAACTTGTGATCCTCCTGCCTCAACCCCCCAAGTCAATGGAATTATAGATGTGTGTCATTGCACCTGGCTCATATCTCCTAGTTTTTAAAGGCCAAAAACACAGCCATAGGCTGGAAGAAACACTTAGGCTTAAATAGAAAACAAACAAACACACACAAGGCAAAATGAAACCACCAAACTGATTTAGGTCTTTTTTATTTGGGTGGCCCTGGAGGGTCAGAGGGAGGTCTAAAGCTGCTTCAACAATTTAACATGTGCATCTTGTGTTTTCCATTTTTAATTAATCCATATTTTTTTTGCCTTTCGTAGTATTTTGATGAATTGGTGATTACATGTAATTTCTTGGAGTGTACCTTCATGATAATCAGAATGAAGATGGGAGTGGGTAAAAGAAACAAGCTTACAAATGGTTACTTTTAGAAATTTGTACCTGTAGTGTTTCAGGCTGAATTAAACCCATAAATTAACCCTTAACAACATCGAGGGTAGGAGGGAGTGGATTAAGTTAAAAAAAAAAAATACTAAAAGATGACTCATGGACCGGAATTGTGGCTCAGTGGTAGAGCGCTTGCCTAGCATGCATGAGGCACCAGGTTCGATCCCTGGAACCACATAAAAATAAAGAAATAAAATGAAAATATTGTAAGTATCGTGTCCATCTAAAACTATATATATATATATATTCATGATTATCTTTAAAAATAATTTTATCCTTTTAAACATTTATTTCTAACTTAACAAATGTTGTCAAAGTATCCATATTATATGAACATTATGATCATACAAATGGGTTTTTGTTTTGTACCGTGAGCTGAACCCAGGGGTGTCTTACCACTGAGCCACATTTCCAACCCTTTCTTAAATATTGAGACAGGGTCTCACTAAGTTGCTTAGGACATCATTGTTGCTGAGGCTGAACCTGAACTTGTGATCCTCCTGCCTCAGCCTCCCGAGTGGCAGGGATTATAGGTGTGCCACTGCACCCTGCTTGTCACAGTCTTCACAGATCTGGAGCTCTGCCTCCCCACTGTAGACATCAGGGCTTAAATCAGCTGGGATTAGGAATGTGACTTGGCTCTGCTGACCGATGATTCAGAAAAGAAAAACACGGAGCAACTCTCATTGAAAAGGTCTGTGGCAGAAAGACGCTGAGACTTCTGAGAGAGGAGGGGCTGGTTCGAGGAAGATTACCGATGGCCTGGACGAAATTTCCTCTAGTGCTCGATGGGGCAGTGCAGTTTGTTCTGGGTCCAGTTCTACACATGGTTTTGATCACCATTCCTGGAAGGACAGCCTCAAGTCTGTCCCCGAAAGTCTCAAAAGCATCTCCCAACACCTTAAAAACCCTTTCCCCACTTAATTAGTTTAACAGTCAGCTTCTGTTGCCTGGGCCCACTGACAATCAGGTTTGCAGGAACAGCCACAACAGCCCAAGTTAGGACAGGAGTCTGTTTCCAGATCTGCATTAGTCGGCTTCCCCTGAACAACAGGTAAGAGGCAAAAGCTGGCCACCTTTGGGCTCCACTCCAGGTCTCAGTGAGGTCTCCAGAGAAGCAGTCAAGAGTGACCTGTTTCAATCTCTTGACAAAGACTACACCTGTTCAAAGAATGAGTTCAAAGAATGTTCCACAGTTAAAGTGATGACTATTCTAATTCTGAATGTGATTCTTAAACAATATCACCCTTTCATAATAACAAGACTTTGTACCAGAGGTTGCAAATTGGTGTATAAACCTGGCCTGTGTTAAGTGTGTAAGACTTTTGTCCTGCAACAATGTTTTTAAACTTTTTTTTTAAAGTATATTTATTGCCAGAGATACAGAGAGTTCACATTACATCTGTGATTTCTGCTCTTAAAACAGAAAAAAAAAAATCTGATGATTATGGCCTGCCTTCAACAAGCAGATGGAGGGTCAAAGCCCCCCTTTGACAGGCCATGTGTTCTTCAGCTGGCCACTGATATACAAGAGTATACCAAATTTTTACTTTTAATTTTGTTGTACACATTGTAAGCTGGGTATATGATCTGCCATTTCATTTAAAAAATTTTAATAAGTAAACAAAACACCTACATTGTACACTGTTACAAAATACTAGAATAGAGTAAATCTAAACATAAAAGGCAGATTAGAGGAGGAGGGGTGAAAAGAGGGCCTGGACTAGAAGATTTCAAAGCAAACCAAACAATAATATAGTTTTATCAAACATTTATTTCTGTAGGATATATTCTATTATTTGAAGTAGATATAAGACCCAAATAAGAAATAAGACTTATTAACAATAAACTGACACCAAATATATCATCTGTGATCAACTCAGTAAGACTAAGTATATATTTTAATTCTAGACGTGATTTAGAGTTTTGATTTAAAGAGGTGGAAAAGTGCAATTGAGGCAAAAGTAAAACACAAAATCCTATCACATTATATCTGATGTTCAAGGCACCCTCTAAATGCTGAAAACTCAAGGAGGTTCTCAGAGAAGGTATTATAATCCATTAATATTACATTACAACCAAAAAGCTCCTTATAAAAAGGAGGTCATGTAGTCAGATAAAGAATACTGGATTCTTCTCCATATTATGGGAAGGATGTAAATAAATATATCTTTGAGGTATGACAACAGTCACTTCAGTACTGTGGAAATGACCCATCGATTTTGGCAGCCCAGGCCATGAGTCCCCCCACAACATCCTGAACCATTAAAGAGTCTAACTCCTGGGCTGCTGTTAAGGACTGCAGGATCTTCACGGCTTTTTGGGAGTCATTTCCTAGTTTGCAAATCACATAAATGGAGAGTGCAGCCCCTTCCTGAATACGCTGCTTCCCTTCCTGGATTGCTTCTCCCAGGAGTTTCAGGCTTTCCGCATCCCTCCGTTCTAAATGTTTCAAAGGGATGTGAAGGGCATGAGGCAAATGACAGATGTCCACCTCCACTTTAGGCCTGACATCCAGCAATAGATGGGGTGCCCCAGAATCCAGAAGTCGCTTATAGTCAGTGACAGAAACACGCTCCTCTGGGCTCAGAACCCGCAGGGAACGGCACTTATCGGTAGCTGAAGAGCCACAGAAGGCCTCATAGTCCTGCAGGTCGGTAACAGTGGGGCGCTCCCCGCAAGCTGCACAGTCGGGCCTGCGCCTCCGCAGCCGAATACAGCGGAAATGCCCTCCAAGAGCGTCAAAGAGCAACAGACTGCCACTGTAAGAGGGACCCAGGCCTGCAGCGATCTTCAGCACCTCTAGCGCCTGCAGGCAGCCCAGGACCCCAGTTACCACACCGAGCACCCCACCATCTGCACAGTTGGTCACCGTCTCTGCTGGGGGTGGCTGGGGGAACACGCAGCGATAGCAAGGCCCACCGTCATAGTGGTAAACTGTGATTTGACCTTCGAAGCGCAGGGCGCTGGCCGACACTAGAGGACGGCCGGCCAGCACGCAGGCGTCATTAACCAGATAACGAGTGGGCACGTTGTCGGAGCAGTCGGCCACCACGTCGTACTGGCGGACTAGGTCCAGCGCCGTGGCTGGGGTAAGCGCTTGAGCATAGGGCACGCACTCCACCGCCGAATTGAGGCGGCGCAGCGAGGCGGCGGCAGAAAAGGCTTTGGCCTGTCCGGCCAGTGCCTCGCCATGCAGCACTTGGCGGGCTAGGTTGCTCATCTCTACCACGTCGTAGTCCACCAGGCCAAGGCGGCCCACGCCGGCTGCAGCCAGGTACTGCGCCAGCGGGCAGCCGAGTCCACCGCAGCCCACGATGAGCACCGACGCGGCAGCCAGGCGCAGCTGTCCGTGCACGCCCAGCTCAGGCAGTACTAGCTGCCGGCTATAGCGCAGAATCTCTTCTCGGGACAGGACGGCCTTGGGCGGCAGCGGCGACACCGGAACCAGGCGTTCTGGCTCAGGTTCTTGTTCTGCCAAAAGAGCTGCCGCCAGCCGCTGCTTCAGAGAACTCAGCTCCTCCTCACGCCGGGCAACTTCAGCCTGTAAGGCGAGCACCTGCTCCCGGGCAGCCATGGCGACCCCTCCGGATATGGCCCTAAGAAGCACTTCCGTATCCGGCTTACTCTCTCCTAGCGACTGGAATAAACTAAAACAACTTCATAAACTTGAGTAAAGGAGACAAATAGGTAGGCATTTCCTGAAGAAGTCTTCCGACTCAATTTAAAAGGTTCACGAATCCTGTCTACTTCCAACTGAATCACGCACAGGGCCTGGAAGAAGTGCAATTCAGTCATACAGGCCACCCCCCTCCTCCGGGATTTGGTACGTTCCGCGCCACGTGACGTAATTCCGCCTCCGGCGTCCTGCGCTGTTCCGCCATGGCCTCCGTGGAGTCGCGTCGGAGTCCTGCCAGCTCTCGGCAGGAGCCGGAGGGGCGCTCCCGACGCCAGGACAAGTACTCGGTGCTCTTACCCACCTACAACGAGCGCGAGAACCTGCCGCTCATCGTGTGGCTGCTGGTGAAGAGCTTCTCCGAGAGGTAGCGCGCCCGACCTTCCTCCCCGAGGAATGGGATGAGCTGGCTCCGCCGGCCTGGGTGGCGGCGGTTGGCTGCGCGAGGCGGCCCTGCCTGTCTTCCCGGGCTCACGCAGGCAGCCTCGAGGAGGAGGCCACCCCGCGAGGAAGGAAAGCCGGACACTTGCCGGGTGTTCTCGTGTCTTGGGTTCTCGGTCCAGCTCCCGGGTGTTGTGAGACGCTCGCGGTCCTGGTGACGAACGCCTTCTGCCCCCGCTCGCGGCTTTTTTCTTAAAAGGCTGATCCCCCCCCACTTTTACCTGGGGCGCAGCTGAAAGCCGGAGCCGCCCCCTCGGTGGTCACGGCCGGCCGCCGGAGCCCGGGCCCGAGCGGGCGCGCTCCTCCCCGCCCCGGCGCCGAGGGCTTATGTAAGCGTGAGGTTGGGCCCGTGGAGGAGGGAACCGCCGCGGGCGGGATCGCCTTTCCGCCGAGGAGCCAGCAGGGCGGCCTCGGCGAGCCCTGTGGGGTGTTTGGTGGGGTTTCTAGAAAGGAGAATTTTGGAGTTTCAATTTCGAAGTGTTGTGCGATTTAAAAAAAAATAATCAGAGAATCTTGGCGGCTCAGAGTAATTTGTATGATGGTTGGACAAATGCGATCATGCTGCGAAAATCTGTAAACGTTTTTCCATAGCAACACGTACGATCGTAGCAAATTATTTTTGAAAAGTTAGGCGATAGCACATATGGCTATGTTATCATTTATTTACCCGGGTCATGTCAGTAACCAAATTATTTCCAGAGGTTTGGTTTTGTTTTGGCTTTTGCTTTACAGTCAGCCAACCTGAGCATTACTAGATTTACGTTGTTGTAAACACTTGGTGGAAACCATTTTGCTGATTTGATCGTATTTCTTGGAATAACTATCTGCACGTTTAAGGCTCCTCAAAGTTTAACTCTTATCTCTTTTCCACTTTAGATGTATGTCTTTTTAATTCTATTCTGACGCTCTTTCCAAATTAAAAATTAATCATGTAGCCAATCTTGTTCTAGGTTTATAGTCTGATTTTCATCACACATACAGGTATATGTGCATACATGTCAGTGGGTATATTATGAAGTTCAATTTATTCTAATTTTTTTTAAAATGGGGGTGCTGGGAATTGAACTCAGGAACACTCCACTACTGAGCCACATCGCCAGCCTTATATTGTATTTTATAGGGCTCATTGAGTTGCTTAGCACCTTGCTTTTGCTGAGGCTGGCTTGGAACTGGCAATCCTCCTGCCTCAGCCTCCCCAGCAGAGCAGTTGAGATTACTGTTGACCCTGCACAGTTTATTTATTTATTTTTTTAATGGTTTCTGGGCATGCTGTTAAAAATCAAAATGTAGTTTAGTGAAGGAAACCATTAATACTTTTGTAGGTGCAGATCACATTGTCACCTCAGCTTTATTTAAGCTGCCTCACCTTAAGGTGACTTGGCTGATTTGAACACGGAGAATTTTGCTTATGAATAACTCCATTTTGTTTGAGAGAGATACTTATTTTAGCATTCTACTAGAATGCTCATCTAACTGTTTGGGGTGTTAAAAGTTGTTCCCAAAGTTAAGAGCTCAGTGGGAAAGCGAAGTAGCCATCTATAGGGGAATAGATTGGCTGTTTTATATTTTAAGTTTGCTGGGGCTGGCTTTTTTAGGCCTTTAGCAGTGGGATGTGTTGTCTGTTTTATTTCTTTGCATATATTGCTTACAGCAAAATCAAGAGGTAGCAGTTTTGTGTTCTTCCTTTCCCCTTTAACTTTGCAATGTCTTTATTAAAGGGGAAGGTGGAGATAGAGGGAAGCAGGGTGGTGATTAAGTATGCATTCATAAAGTATTTATTCACCAAATAAATACTTTGTGTTGGCTCTTTTTTTAAATAGAAAAGAAACTATCATGTGAAGTTAATAGAAAGTAACAGATATTAATGTTGAAGCACAATAAAATCTCTTATAAAATCTACTGTGCTTTTTTTTAAAAATTTTGTAGTGTGAGTTAATGGGTCCTACTGTTTGAAGCAGGCATTTAAAAGATTGTGAACACTATTCTAAACATTTTTTAAGAGTGAAATTAAGTCAGATTTATTCCTGATATTTAAATCTGCTTTTTTTATTAAACTAAAAAGGATATTCATTCAAAATACTCAATTTGTTTTGAGTTGCCACTTAAGTACTTTTGAAATATTTTACATACCTAAGATTTGATATTAAGATTCCAAGTTTTCACTTGGAAAGTAGGTAAATAAAATTTCATAGGATATCATATGTGATATGTATGTATGATACATGAATGTAAGATTTTCTAACTAAAGTGTATTTTTTCTGTGTAAGAATGTTTTGATATCTTGGGTCATCATAATAGCATTTTCCAGCAATTTACTAGATTTGGAGGTGAAGTATTAAATGTTTGGCATTTATTTAATTTGATACTTGAAGTTTTCTTTAGTGACTAATATGACAGTAAGTCTTCACTTATACTAGTTAGAAATCAATTATTAAAATATTTTTAAATTTGAAAAAGTCTCCAAACATTAATACAAATTCAAATTTTTAAATTTTAGTGGAATCAACTATGAAATTATAATCATAGATGATGGAAGCCCAGATGGAACAAAGGATGTTGCTGAACAGTTGGAAAAGATCTATGGATCCGACAAAATTGTAAGTTACATGAGCATTTTTCTGTCATATGAATTGTGTTTGTATATGGAAAAGATGACAAATGAACAATGCTTAAATATAGTCTATTTGCCTAGAACTGAAAAGAAAAAGAACAACTTATGCCCTTGAGAATGAAATGCTTTTTCATTCTGCTTAAAATTTTACATATCATTGCTGTGTTGGGTTAGTGATAATTTTATAGCAAAAGAGTGAACTTTAGGATGAATACTTTTTTTTTTCATCTTTTTAATAGTTGTAGATGAACAGAATGCCTTTATTTTATTTATTTATTTATTCATTCATTCATTTTTTATGCGCCTCACATATGGTAGGCAAGTGCTCTGCCACTGAACTACAGCCCCAGCCCCTGAATGAATGCTGTTTTTGTGACTGATTACTGCAATGAGTTTTCTTTGGCAAAATTAAAACATGTTGTTGAATTGACAAGTAATATCAAAGAATCAAGTTGCAATTTGTGTGAGTCTTTCTTTGCCCTTTCGCGTACTCATCCTTTAGTAGAGAATGCTATTTGCAGGTAGGTTAGAAAGGTGACTATTTATATGTGGAACATAAATAACTTTTCAGAACATTTAGCATTTTAATTTTTATATTTTAACATGTTTTGTAATTTTGTATTTTTAGAAAATGTTCTGGTAATAAAATGTAATATATTTGTTATATTTTAAAACATCGGTTATATTTTAAAACATCAAATAACTGTACATTCAAGAGATTTGGTTACTTTAAAATAATTAAACTTTATCCTCAAATACAAAAATATTATATTTAACAAGATTAGTACCCTAACCAAATAATTACCTAACCAGATAATTCATAAAATAAGAGCTATAAATGACCAGTCAATGTGGGGGAAAAAATGAGCCTCACTAAGAATTGCACAATAGAAGAGTATAATTAGCCTTTCTTAGTGGAAGGTTTCTTTTCTTCTTTTTTTAAACTAGTGTTTTTTATTTTTTGTTTTAGTTGTTGATAGACCTTTATTTTATTTATTTATATATGTGGTGCTGAGAATCGAACCCAGTGCTTCACACATGCCAGGCAAGTACACTATTGCTCAGCCCCAGCCCCAGCCCTTAAACCAGTGTTTTTGAAAGTATGGTAAATGGTTGGATTCAAATCTATTGATCCTAGAATAGGTTGACATAGTTTTCTGAAATCTCAGCTGGCAATAATGTCATAACCCTCAAAATATTCATACTTTACTTTTGATTGATGGTATTAAAGTGTACAGTGGGTTTTAAAACTGCATGTGTTTTTAAATACAGTCACATAGCTTACTTGGAATATTTTTTTACTAATTTTTTTTTTCAAGATTTTCTCGTAAGAATATCTTGCAAAGGTTTCTTGTTGCTCAAATTATTGTACTTCATGAAGTATTTTATTTTATTTAGAATTAGTTGCGCACAGTATCTGTACTTTATTCATTTATTTTTATGTGGTGCTGAGGATCAAACCCAGGGCCTCACACGTGCTAGACAAGTGCGCTACCGCTGAGCCACAACCCCAGCCCCTCGTGAAGTATTTTATAAGTAAACATATTTCACAGAATATATCCCTGGCACTCTTGCAAGCACTTTACAGGAATTCACTGCTTGTTCCTCATTCCAGCCCCGTGATAGAGTTTCGTCGTGCCACTATATGTGCCCAGGATCCTGACTAGTGAGCAGTGTAGCTGAGATTCAAATCAAAGTCTCATGGCTCAAGAGTCCAGGTCCTATCTGCCACTGTATTTTGCCTTACATAAAAAGGAGCTGTCAGATTGATGTGAGGAGGCAGAAAAGGATCCGGAGAGTGTGGAAAGGTAGGGTTGGTTGGTTAAGGTTGAAAGTAAAGCACGCTAGGTGGAAACAATTCGAGCTTAAACATATTATAAAATGTAAATATTACCTGTAACATTGAAGTTGCCTTTGATAAGCATTTTTTAATGTGCATTTCAGTCTCTTCCCCCAGAAAAGACTCAGGTCAACAGTTTGTATTTTTGTGCATATGCCTGTAGAACTAAGTAGTAAGTTTTCCTTTTATAAACACAAATATAATCATTAGTACTTCTAATGATATCTTGAAGAGGTTACTATATACCCACATTACCTCTAACTATTTCATAATATTGTTTAATGATGGATATAAACCTTTGAGCATTCTAAAAATTATAAGTAATAAAGTGATCTTTTTCAAAAAGAATTTCCAGCTGAAACAAGGTTATAGAAAATGTCATGAGCTTTAAAAGTTTTGCTTATTTAGAGCAGGTACTCGTATTTTGTCAGTAACTATCAATCACAGAATCAAAATTTGAGATCTGACGTGTCTTGTCTGATTCTGTTCAATGACTTGTGGGTGTCTATTTCTCCTCCCTGTAAGCTCTTATTGGACAAGAATAATTGTATCCATCTTTGTTCTTTCCCAAGACCTTTGCATGTTGTCAAAAAGAAAAGAAATCTGTCCTGCTTGAATTGAACTGGGAAGGCTTTGTTAGAGATTTGGCAGTCTGCGGTGACCTGCTCATTCACAGCCAAATTCAGAAGGGGACAAGATATGCTCACTAGTTTCCAGCCAGAGGAAAATGCTAAACAACGAAATCAGGGGCCAGATACGAAGCAAAAAGTTTACAAGACTAAGTAATTGGAAAACTGTTAAGAAGGAGGAAAACTTCACCTCTTGTTAGGAACATAATTTGTTATTGGAGCAGTAGAGAATGAGATGAAATCATCCAAGTGTGAAGTTAAGATTAAGTTCATGAAGGAAGGGTGATGTCAGCATTGAAAATCACAGGGAATCAGGAGGATAATGTGGCTATCAGCTATTCTGAAAAGGTATGGAACAATGAGTTATAGCATCAATTTTGTAGGAAGGCATCAAAAGGCATCATTGTTTTAAATGACAGATGTAGTAATAGATGTAAAATTAATATTGTTTAAAATATGGTGGATAGTGCCAGAAAAAAATGCTTTGCCTATAGGGTTGGGGATAAAGAATGTTGCCTTTCTGAAAAGCTGTGTTAATGTATTTGGTTTGTTACCACCTTTTTTTTTTTTTTTTTTACTTTGGCAAAAAATGTTAAGCATACGCTACTTTAAGGGTAATAAATGCATTATTTCTGTTAAAATGAATGTGCACTTACAAGAAGGGGTAAGATAAAATTTAGTCAGATTTTTTACTGAAGTATTGTTTCTTTTTCCTACAGCTTCTAAGACCACGGGAGAAAAAACTGGGATTAGGTAAGTAGACCCTCTAACCCCCTCATACCTGCGACTTGCCTTGGTAAACTCATCCAGTGTGTAATTTCCCAATTTGGAACAGGACCAGATATAGCAACGTGGTGGTTTTTAATGTGATCTTTATGACATTTAAGTAGTTTAACTTGGGTCACCTTTGTCAATCAGAACCCACTCAGAAAAACAAACTGCTCTTTGAGTATAGGGAATTTAATACAAAGAATTTGGTTGCACAGATGAAGGAATTGCTGAGAAGCCAAAGGGAACAGTGAGGTTCCTAAGAAGTCAATAACAACTGGAGGCTCCTTACTGTTGCCCCTGTAGATGGAGCAATGAAGGGGCGTGGGGGCAGGTTAGACCCCAAAACCTGGTCTGCCCAGAGGGAGCTAGAATGATGAGGTAGTCCTGCCAAATAACCTGTCAATGGAGGACACGTAGACTGTCCTTCTCCCTCCTCATAGTCTGCACCTGTACCTCACTAATTGTCTGTAAGCAGATGATAAGGGAACCTGGAAAATGTGGTTTCTACAATATAGCATAGAAAAGGGCCAGAAAATGAGTCTGGGAACACATATCATGGACCAGCATATTGCTTTAGCTGCACCTTTGGGCATAAGTTTAAAAGTTATTTTTTATTTCTAAAATAGAAAGATTTTCCAGTTAAATATAGGACATTATAGAATATCTCAAATGAGCTCAGTAATTGAGATGAAACCATGAATGCCTTTATTTCTGCCACTGCCCGCAGTTACTCATGTTGAGAATTGGTATACATAATGAAAAATCAGGGGATTATGGAAAAAACATAGTTCTTACGAACTAAAGCTGCTGTTCAGAAGACCGTTTGTCCCTGGCATCATCAAACATTCTCAGTATTGGGCTGGGATTGTGGCTCAGTGGTGCAGCACTTGCCTAGCACATGTGAAAGTCTGGTTTCTATCCTCAGCACCACATAAAAAATAAAGTTATTGCGTCCATCTACAATTAAAAATATTTTTCAAAACATACTCTCAACATTTTTGGGATTGGAATAATCTGGAAACTTCCATGAAAGCTGCCAAGAAATTAACTGACTATAGTCGCTTCTTCCCACTGTGTGAAAATGGACTTGGACTGCTGGGAAAAGCAGAAGCAGAGAAGCATGTTAGGTAGTGACCCAGGCATCAGAAGGTAGTGCATGGAAAGAAGGGAATTGGGAGAGGGTTTGGCTATAGAATCATTAGGACTTAAAAATAGTTTAGAAATTAAAGTTTTGGGTAAGGTAGGGAATCAAAGGTCACCCCTAGACCTGTGGGTGGAACACTCAAATAGTTGGTAATTTCCTGAAAGGTGGCCTATAAAGCGGTGGGTATTTAGGGGTGATTTTGGAATATTACATGTAAGATTTCTTAATATGCAAGTGGAGACAGCTGCCTCTATGAATATATGGAGCACTGAGAAGTATCTGGCCTTGTCAGTGTCTTGGAAGTATCAACATAAATATGACTTTTAAACCATGAGAATATGATAATTTTTATATATTCTGAGACTATCTTACTATTTCTTTGCTAAACTAAAATATAGATGGGATCTAGTAAATTGACATCTGAATATGGAGTAGATACCCAGCTATATACTTAAGATGGAAACTGACCAACTTATTAGTAATACTTTTAGAAAACTGATAATGCTTTTCAAGTGCTAAACAATTTCTTCCCTATTCAAAAGTATACCAATGCGTGTCTACTGATACTCTTTAATGGATATAAATGCTTTCATTTTTAGGAACTGCGTATATTCATGGAATGGAACATGCCACAGGAAACTACATAGTTATTATGGATGCTGATCTCTCTCACCATGTAAGGGGCATATTTTTTTATTAGCTATTTATGATACTTTCAGCCTATTTTACTGACTTACTGTTTATTTTTTCTAAATTTCAGCCAAAATTTATTCCTGAATTCATTAGGTAGGTACTGTTTCTAATATTTGAAAAGAGTTACAATTGAAAACATTTTTCTTACATTGATTTTGGACTTTTTTCATGAATTAAAAATGTACATGTTATTTTAACTTTTCTTTTAAAATATAACCAACATATAGATTTGAGACTCACAAATGTAGGTAGATGTGTGACTGATATAAATTAGGAGCCCTGAGAAATGAATGAACAGATCATTCCTTTGTTATCTAAATTCTTTTAGAGCACAGAGAAAGATTAAAGGAAGCCTTGAATCATTAGAGTAAGACACTATCAGCAAATAGGGTTTACTCTAGGAGTATAAATCATTCCTCATGTTAACAGAGAAAGTAGCATGATTGTGTATAGATACTAAAAGGTATTTTATTTGTTACATTTTCTAATAAGAACTGAAATAGAAATAGAAGAAAACTACTTAAGCATGATTAAAATGACCTAGTCCTAACACAAATGTTATGCCCAATAGTGAAATTATCAATCATTTCCAATAAGTTTATTCAAATAGGTAGGCCAGTTCACATTAAACATGGATTTAGGTAATACAGTAAGTTAAGAATTTAGTTAGATATTGGTAAAGGATACAAAATTGTATTTGTTTGCAGGTGATATAATCTTAAAAAACCCAAGAGATGACAAAACCTCTGTGAATAAACTTCTGACATGACAATCAGATCATATCACTCCCTGTTTAGAATATTCACAGAGTTACCCTCAACACCTGAAGGAAAAAATCCAAACTCCCTCATCCTTCCAACTCCTATATAAGTGGCTCCTGCCTTTCTGACCTGATCTTATGCCACTACCCCATGCTCTCAGACCTTGGGCATAGTCCTCTTGTTTCTCAATATACACAGAGCTGAAAAGCTGTCTCACTGCACCTTAATGGCCAACTACTGTCATCCTTTGATCTCTACATAAAATTGCTTAGACCTTTTCTGCTTATCTCTCTAATACTCAAAGCCGCCTTTGACCTAATAAGGAAATGGAACCCTGGGAATAGATTTTCTATTGTATTTTGGACTCAAACTGGCAACATGTAGAAGAAATTCAGATGGCTAATAAACTTTTTTGGGGGGAGGGGGGACTGGGGATTGAACTCAGGGGCACTCGACCACTGAGCCACATCCCCAGCCCTATTTTGTATTTTATTTAGAGGCAGCATCTCACTGATAGTGCCTCACTGTTGCTGAGGCTGGCTTTGAACTCAACATCCTCCCATCTCAGCTTCCAAGCCACTAAGATTACAAGTGTGTGCCACTGCGCCTGGCAGCTAATAAACATAAGAGAAAATATTCACCATAGGATGCAAAGAAATGCAAAATAAAGTAACTATTACCCATTAGTTTCTCAAAATTTAAAACTTTTAGAGCAGTTACATCTAGTACTTATAGGTTTAAAAAAAATGGGCACATTCAAATATTACTGAATAAAGTATGAGTTGTAACTTTTGGGAAATGATTTCTGCAGTATCAGAAATATGAATAAGCTTTTGTCTAGTATATTCCATTTTGGGGGACTCTTAAGCATCATGGTAAATGTTTTTAAGAATGATTATTGTGGCATTGTTCGTTATGGGGTTTTTTGGTCACTGGGGTGGGGAACCCACCGTGAAAATAATCACAGATGTCTGACTTGAATGATTGGAACTATTTTTTAAAAAGGGGAGATTTCTGTTGACCTGTGGAGGTATCTGTGATTCTGCGATGTATATTATTAGCTGACAAAAAGCAAGTCAGAAGGTGGACTTTTTTTGGATTTCATCTTTGTAAATGTAACCAAAAACTTTGAGGCACCCCTTTGATTATTTTTTTATAAGTAAAGAGAAAGATCTAGAGGGACCAGACTGTTGTAGCATTGTGTTCACTTTTGGTGGTAGAAGGACTAGTTTATAATTTTACTAACACTTTTAAGGATAGTTTTACATGGTATAGTCAGCAAATAGTACTATGTTATAGTTTTTCCTTCATTTATTTAAGATAAATAAAAGAAAAACAGGGTTGAATTCCTCATTCTGTAAGGTCTTTCGGTAAATAATTCGTCTGTTTCCTTAGCATTGTTTTTTTCTCTTTTTCTGTTAAAAGTTCTGTTTGTGTAGCTTATGGAAATGCCTACTGAGCTCAGTAGCTTTTTCTCATTGACATTTTTTCCCCCTGTAGGAAGCAAAAAGAGGGTAATTTTGATATTGTCTCTGGAACTCGCTACAAAGGAAATGGTGGTGTATATGGCTGGGATTTGAAAAGAAAAATAATCAGGTATATACGTGTACTATAATTTCTCTCAATGTAACTACTGGAAATATATTATTTTGATGAAATTACATGCTGCCTTCATTTGTGCCAATAAATATTCCCAGGTGTAGCTTCTTACCTACACTTTTTCCTTTGCTCAGTGTGTTTTATTTTGGATGTTTTTCAGTTATCAAAAACTTACGAACTTTTGGTAGAAATGGTCTGGTTCAGTAAAAGTTACTCTACTGGACCTCAGTTTTGATTTGATTGAGTTATTCATCTATATTTTGAGGCTGGATAGGTAGGTCCCTCCCCCCATGTTTATATTTTTACTACTTTAAGTAAAAAAAATATGCCAACTTTTACTAAGCAACATAAACTAGTATATTCCATTTTGGGGGAATATAGGGCCCTGCAGTCAGATATGCCTGGGATATCCTCTTTGTCATTTACTTCCAATTTTACTTTTTCTGACCTTTACCTCCCTCATCTTAAGATGGAAACAAAACCTACTATTCCAATTTTCTATTACTGTCTTGTCAAAGTATCCATCATTTCTCATAACTCTGTGGATTGGCTGTTGGCGTCTCAGCAGGCTTCTGTTGGGGTTTTTGCAACATTTGGCAGTTGTTGCTGGTCTCAGTTCTCTGCAGGGCTCTCCAGAAAGCTGGAGCAGCTTCTTCGCCAGGCGCCCTCAGGGAACACCCAAGAGTACAGCAGTGGAAGCTGCAAGACCACTTGAATTCTAGGCTCCTCTGGGGTTCACACAGGGTCAGTTTTTTTTCTGTCAAACCATTTCATGAACAAGAGATGGGGGTGGGAGAATTCCCTTTTTTGATGGGAAGACCACAAAAAAATATTTTTCATATTTTACCTATCTAACATGCTTTTTCAGGGTAGCAGGAAGATGAGATATATTTCTTGTCATTGATATCTTTTACCACCCATTTCACTCGAATTAAAGATTCATTTAAGTTCATCTCAGTTTTGCCTCTACTAGAACCTAGGACCTGCCATGTAGAACATTTAAGAATCTTGTCTTCTGTAACACGGAGTTGGATAAAGCAGTGCTTTTCAGTCCTGCTAAATATTAGAATCATGTAGAGAGAAAAATCTCATAAAACTACACCTATTTGTCATCCTTTTCTCACACACACTGCAGACCATTTGAGAATCTCCAAAAGTGGGCCAAAGGCTTCAGGGTTTTTCACAGACTTCCTAGATGAATATTGTGAGCCAGTGCTGAAAACAAGTGAACTTGATCTCTAAAGGCACTCAGGTCATTTACCTATTATTTAAAATTAAGGACTCCCAATCACAGATACATTACACCTTTTAGTTGTACCTGTTAGTAGCTGTTAATATCATCTGCAGTGTCCTAGAGTATAAACTTTAGTTCTTATCAGTATGATTCAAATCTAGAATTCAAACCCAAAGCTGACAGATTATATTGTTACATTGTGTGCATTTATGAACATTATATATAACTATAATGCACCAATAAAAAATGTGAGGAAAAAACCCCTCAAGACTTGAATGGCTCTTTCAACATTTTAATTAATTAAAAGACCCCAGTTTTAAAATACATATTTCCCAGCATGGTGGGACACACCTGTATTCATGGCTACTTGGGAGCTAAGGTAAGAGGATTGTTTGAGCTCAGCCTGGGCAACATACAAGACCCTCTCTCAAATATAAATATACTATCTTGTGTAGATGTACAAAAGTATACACAAACATACACATATTCCTTTGTTTATACCCATTTGGGATAAAGGGATAAACTATATAATATTTTTATAGGTATTAGAAGCAAATTGAAGGGAAAATGTTTTTGTTAGCCATCATCCCATATACCCTAATCTTGGTGATTTGCATACAGTCTTAGCTAGGGAGGCTTGGGCTTAGGAAGAAAGCCACTCACTTCAGGTTGTCCCAGAAAACTTTCTGAATCTACACATGCTAAAATAGGTGCAATTCAAAAGTCACTTTCTTTCGACACTTGGCATCTTTTTGAAAGATTAATAATAGTTATTAATCACTACTATCTTATAATTGATGATACTCTTGTGTTTGAAGTCATTGTTATTGACTTGAGTGTGTTTTACCAAAGTTCTTGATTGAATCCAGAATCCTCAATACATTGGTATTTGGAGAAAAAGCCTTTAGGAAGTAATTAGTTTGGGAGGTATCTACAGGGTAAGCTCCATGGTAGGACTGGTGCCTTCATAAGAAGAGGCTAGAGAGCTTACTCTCCTTCCCTTTGTGTGAGAATACAGAAAGCCAACATCTTGATCTAGGATTTCCTAGCCTCTAAAACTGAGAAATTTCTATTGTTTAAGCAACCTAGTATAATAGTATAAAGCATTTGCTAAAGTGGCAAAGCAGATTTAAGGCTAAGAAAGTGAATCAATTTCCAGAGATCATTAAAAGCCAACATCCTCTTCTACCTGTATACCATCTTTAAATAAAAAGTACCATTTTTATACATTACCAACAAAAATTCAATCTCTCTGCAGATTAGAATCTGAAAAGGAAACCCCTTACCAGATCCCTGTCTTTTTCCATCTGTTAAATTCTTTATCCAATCCCTGATCTCTTTTTCTTACTGACATTTATAATTCTAAGTGGTAACCATTGGTAAATATCAGTTCTATTTTCTGTTTTTATTCTTAGCTAAAGTTTGAAAGGTTGATTCCTTTATGGGTCTTAAGTTCACTTTCAAAGAACGAGTCCCTATTTTCTGAAAAATGGGTATCAGGTTTCATTTCACTAAAAATTTCTCTTTGTTGTAGAGAATTAACATTTTTGTGTAATTAATGCTGCATTTATGAAATTAGCACTTTTAGCATTGTGCTCTTGGATATGTTTCTCTTGTATATCAATTGTATTTTAATTAAGAAAATGATTGTTTTATTTGACAGCCGTGGGGCCAATTTTATAACTCAGGTTTTGCTGAGACCAGGCGCATCTGATTTAACAGGAAGTTTCAGGTACAGTGAAATTTTCTACTATTTATAACTTCCTGCCTAAATTTCTTGTGTTACAATAGCTATTTTAAAGAAATGCTTTATATTCTACCCTGTTTCTGTCCTGGAATGCTAGAAGGACAGAAGTTGCTTATGTAGCCTAAATATCTCTGAAGGAGAAATATCATACTTTTTCTTTAAAAGTTAGAGCAGGAGTTAGGTCAGTGTGGTGCTTACCTTAGTATTGGGCTCCATTGCTCACGTGGAACATTGCTGTTAAGTGACCAGGAATATGCTCCTGAGAACAACAACACACAGTCCAGTAATTTTCTATAGTTTTATGAGTACTTACAGCATTACCTACAGGGAAAAAAAAAAACTTAGAATCTTTACTATTTAGGTAGAGTTTTTAGTTACTTTGTTCTCCATGTAGATTTAGGGGGGGAATGTGGTGTCAGTGCTGGTGATCGAACCCAGGGCCTCAGGCACGCTAGGCAAGTGGTCTACACTGAGCTACTCTCCAGGCATACACACACACATGCGTGCATGCACACGTAATCTATACACATAATATGTTTTTTTTTAGTTTGGTTGTGTGTGTGTGTGTGTGTGTATATACACATGTTAGGAATTTTGAACCCAGGGCCTCAAATGAGCAAGGCAAGCACTCTACCACCAAGCCCTGTGCCCAGCCGTGTGAATTGCTTTGTATGACTGGGCCAAATTACAATTAAAGATTGCCAGATTTTTTTCCTCCAGTTTCTGAAACTAGAAAATGCTTGCTCTTTTAAGGTCCCAAACCCCATGCATTACTTAATTTATATTACTTGTTTATTGTTTTCTATTAAATAATGTTAGGTTCTACTTTAATGGAAAAATCTAGGTTGTTTGTCAGAATTCATTGTTAGTTGCTGACTCTTGAAGGGAAATAAAAATAAAAAATAAACCTCTATAGCTAAAAAGTAAGTTGATTAGAAAGTAGACATTGGGCCAGGCATGTTAGTGCATATCTATAATCAATCCCAGCAATTTGGGAGGCTGAAGTAGGAAAATCCCAAGTGTGAAGCCAGCAACTTAGGGAGACCCTGACTCAAAATTATTTAAAAAAAACTTGGTATATAAAAGAAAGGAGTTCTATAAATATATCCTTTCAATTCCAAATTTAAAGCAAAGGAATCATGTGTGATCTGATTAAGATCTCTGGTTGCCATGTAGCAGTAATACTAAGAATAGTGGCACTCACAAAATCTCTGTACAGAACTTCCCTCTCTGGATTTCACAGGCCACAATTGTGATGGTTTTGAGGGAAGTCCCAGGGTAGCTCATGAGTCATGGAGATAGAGGTTGTGAAGAAAAACAGCAATGACATGAGGCTTCCTCACTGCCTCAAAGCAAATGGGGCTTAAGCTAAACAATGGCCTAGGAGTTCTGGATCTACACAGCCAGAGCGGTGATGGGGCACGTTTATCATTCAATGGGGTTCATTGTCTTTAGGTCCCTAGAATTAGAAGAAAAAGGAATACAAATATTTTTAGAAAAAGGAATCTCAGAAAGCTGCAATCTGACATAAAGCCATTTAATAGCAAAGACCAGCTGGATGCTGATCATACGTATGAGAACAAAGTCTTACATTTGTGTCCTTTTAATTTATTAGCCATATGTTTGAAGAAACCATGGGAGGGGACAATGTGGAAGATGAAGGTAGTACTGAAAAGAAGTGTCTTAGAAAAGGATTCTTAAAGAGCCAAGCGTGGTGGCACATGCCAGTAATCCCAGCATCTTGGAAGGCTGAGGCAGGAGGATTGCAAATTCAAAGCTAGCCTCAGCCACTTAGTGAGGCCCTAAGCAACTCAGTGAGACCCTGTTTCTAAATAAAAGACTAAAGTGGCTGGGGTTATGGCTCAGTGGTTAAGTGCCCCTGGGTTTTATCCCCAGTACCAATAGAAAGAAAGAAAATGAAAATGATTCTTAAAGGGAAAGAAATTGTAGCCCACTCTACTTGTAAAGGCAATGCTGGAATAGTCCCATTGCTGTCAGTCCTTCCTACCCCATTATCCTAATATCCTCCCTCCCTCACTTAACATCATGTGACATTGTATATCTTTAGTTTTTAGTTCACTCCTAAAACATAGTAAGACATATTGCTAATTGTGTTAATGAGTATTACTACCATCATATTTTCACTCTTCATATTTATTTCAAATTCCTTTGAATTCATTCAGGACCTTTGTGGGAAAGGAGTGCACACACTAAACTCTCTTCTTACGTTCTTCCAAGGGCTCTGCTGTCTGTCTATTGTGTCATACACACTTAAAAGCCAAAAGGTAGTGATAACCTTAGAAAATCCTGGAGTAAAATCTGGATTCCAGGTAACAATAGGCATTGCAGATCCAGGTGGTCTTAACTTGGTGAGAAATAAAGTTATACCAAACTGCCTCTCCTAGTAAAGGTAGGAATTTCTGGAATCTTACTCATTGATACAAACAAACAAAATCTCTTTGGAAATAACTCCTTGCTATTCATAGTTACTGAAGAAAGCGATTTGGTTTACCCACAGGACTTCGCAGTTCCTCTCTTTGGCTTTGTAAATCTGTTGAGCTCTGTGTTTGACCTGCAGTCCATCTAAAGGTTAGGCTGTATGCCAGCCCACTATAAATGTCTGTGACCTCACTTGTAATAGATAAATCCTACCAGGATCCCCTCTTTCCTGTGAAAGTACCTGTCCTAATGTAGATGCACTGCTTATCCTAGTGGGAATCATATTATCCTAGGAAATGTCTTAAGTAAATCTTGGGAAATAGACATGTATGGTGAAGTTCCAATCAGTTATGTATTCTTTCTGGTCTTATATATATTGTAAATGTCAATTCTGTTTTTCCAATATTTGGAATAGTTTTTTCCCCTTTCAACATTAAATGTAAACTTTTAGGAAATTTAAAAATAGGTGGTTCTGTATCAAATGCTTCATTTTACCATATTTTAACAATTCCCAGTAGTTAGTGTCTGATAGGAAGATGATTCTCTAAAAAGTACTGAGAATTCATTTTTCCAGATTATTCCAGACTACGTGGCACATATTTCCTGGCCTTTCTTGGTTGGGACCAAAAGTATTAGAGTCATCAAGTATGAGAATTTTTCTTTGTGCCAGTGGCTAGTGAAAGTCAGGCTGTATAAAAACCAGTGAAAACTTAAGATGTACATGTAGGCAAGTGATATTTATCCAGATGTTCATGTACATTTTGATTTTTTTACAGATTATACCGAAAGGAAGTTCTACAGAAATTAGTAGAAAAATGTGTTTCTAAGGGCTATGTCTTCCAGATGGAGATGATTGTTCGGGCAAGACAGATGAATTATACTATTGGTGAGGTATGTAACTGATGAGAAGTAGTAATGTCATATTCCTCATAAAGGAACAGTACAGTGTGAACATGTTGTAATAAAAAGTTTAACTTTGATAACTACTAAATTAATGTTGTGGGTTTCCAGTTGTTCAGAATGTCTCTGCACTAAAGGGTGAATCCCTTTCATATGTAATACACGTGACCTACTGAGAGTTAAAGTTACTGGTACCTCCTCCATCTGAAGCCTTTATTTTGACCAGTCAGCCTCATTTTGAGTGCCTTAGCTGCTTTTCCTTGTAGAGCCAGCAGCCACCATACTTTGTCTTGAATGATGAACCCCATGTGCCCATTTCCTGTGAACAAGTGGAAGTGGCCAGAGTAAGAGTCCTGTGGTATTTCAGGGTAGCAGTGAGCTCTTAGGGAAGCTCTGCACTACACTAGAATGCCACTTGTTTAAGTTATAAGGTTTCCAACTTAATGCCAAACAGTAGCAGCTAAAATGGACATACTGAAGCAGCTCAGTGAAGGGCCATTATACATTTAAAGTGTACTTTTTCCTTGAAATTTAGCTTTTCTAACAGTTGTAGATTTGATTCTTATGACTTATTTTTAGATGATTAATGTGTGTTCAATTTAAAGGCTTGGCAGTACATGCAATTGAGTCCCTTACTTCTGAACTCAGTTGAAGGACTTATTGTGGGACTGAATTTTTCTGTTCCATTAATAACAGTTGAATACCTGCTGGTCCCTAATTTTTTGTAAACTGATTTTAATGTATATTTTTTCAACCAGGTTCCAATATCATTTGTGGATCGTGTTTATGGTGAATCCAAGTTGGGAGGAAATGAAATAGTCTCTTTCTTGAAAGGATTGTTGACTCTTTTTGCTACTACATAAAAGAAAGTTACTCATTTATGCTTACCATGGTCATTTCAATGTAAACATAAAAGAAGCCTGGTTACTGATTTTTGTAAAACGTACTCTTAAAGCATAAACCACGAGGTAAGGAAATTTTCATGCAAATTTTTTTTTCTGGAGAAACTCCCATTTTATATTTCATATTAAATAATTATAAAAGTTATTGGTTCAACGAGCAGTGTTTCAATTTTCATTTATATTTTGCTGTATTAAGATCTATAAATAAATGTATATTTTTTTTGCACAAAATGTTGCTGCTTTCATTACAGTATGTGAATGCAGAGATTCTGACATGAAACAGAATCTCAAGTATTTGTCATGAAAACTAGATTCCTAGCTCTTTATACCTAGGAGATGTCAGAAGTAAGGGGAAAGAAAGTTAACTGTATTTATGAGATAAGTAAAGCTGATTCCATTACCAATTGAAGAAGTTTAAGTCTCTGCCCTTTCTTCAAAAAGTCTCAAATTTCTTAAGTTATATACTTAGAGCATTTGGGTTGAATTGAAGAAGCATTTTGTCTACTTAGAGCAAGTGTATTTGAAGTACATATTGTGAATTGGAAAACAATTGGCAACAGTTGATTGCATAGCTGCTTTTTGTTTTTCTCTTTTAAGTAATAACCCTGTTGGTATGGAAAAACATTTTGCCTCGCAAAAACATTTTATTTCAAACTCCTCAACAAAGCTCATGTCCTTTTATTAATGTGGCAAAAATCTCTTCCCTGTAACTCTGTGGCAGAACACCAGGAAAGTGTTCTGCCAGTTAAAATGAAGGATAAGTTGTATTGTAAAGCCAGGGCAAATATTCCGTTTACCTACCTTGTCTATCATAGGTGATTTAATTGTATCATAGCTTTTGGGTCATACAGTATCTTAACATTTGAGTAAGGGCATACTTTGAGCAAATAAGCTTAATATCTAGTTGACTTTCTTTTGCAAATAAAAGGAAGAGGAGGTGTACTTAATTGAATCTAGTGAATAGTATTGACTGACTTAATTTAACTGTGCTAAAGAAACTGAAAGTCTGATTTTTCATTTGCCATACTCTCAGATCCTACCAAAAACGAATACTAGACTAAAACCTTTGGTGTCATTTTGAACATTAGTCTCTTCCCCAAGTCCCATAAGTTGAACCTAAAACTACACACTCCAGTGGGAACTACTGTTGTTAATTCTTCTGCCCAAAGCTGTTTGGTTAGCCCACTAGGGACCAACTTTCCTTAGGAAATAACTTCTCTCATCATTAAGAACGAGAACTTCAACAGTTCTTGATTTAAAAAAAAAAAAAATGTTTTAAGCTGTAATACAATTGTGATATTCTCAAAAGTTTTTTTTTTTCTTGTGTTGTTTTTCTTGGAGAGTTAAGAATCTATTCTCTTTAAATGGAGTTTCCAGCATCAAGTACATGGAACAGAAATTAAGTAACCACCTCAGAGAACCTACTATAGAGATAGTGTTGCCTTCTCATGCCACACAAGAGTAGATTTTTTAAAATCTTCAATTGTTCTCACAATCATTATAGCACTATCAATTGGAATTTACCAAGAATGGTTGAGCAGTGAACATTCTTTCACCATTTGGATATCATTTAGAAAAGAATTTGAACTATTTAGATGATTTTTGTAGTAAATCTGGTGACTTAAACACTGAAATCATTTTAAACATTTACATCTGAATCTAGCATCCCTTTTTGCTTCATAAATGAAACCAAGGATGAAATCCAGATGTTCTTCCTTTGTGTTTGTATTATCCCTGTATGAAATCTAAGCATATCTAAGGAAAACTAAAGATAAGTTTATTTTGCTTATTTTATATTAGTATTTGCTTGTCTTTTGCGATGTGTAATTAGATTCTTCATCTCTAGTCCTCTCAATCACGTGCTTCCTTCCCACACCTTTTATTAACAAAATTTTCCATCTGTTGTTTTCCATTGAAATACTGATTTCACTTTTAAAGATGTATTTTATCACAATTGCAGAAATTAATGGAATACCATGTTAAATGAAGGTTTGTTAAACTTGCTTACCAGTCTTAAGCATCATACTTCTTTAAGTCAGATTCTTTGGGCATGGTAAGTATGACTGGAAACTCTGAGCTTGTAACGTTACAGTATTTACAGACCACATATTGGAAAACAATGGGCTTGGTATCTTTACAATTGATATTTATTACTTTTAAATACTTTTAACCTATTATATATTCTCAGATGCACTTAAAAGGTGGGTTTTAAAATGTTGAGACAATGTATTGGCTGGGGTTGACCTATAATTACAAACTGCATCCGTGTTGTCGTGCTGTCCTGTTATGCGAGCACTAGAAGTCACTGGCCCTAGGACTTCAAGGTGTTTTTTAAGGTTCTTGAGGAAACTCGGAGGCAACATCACTTTGCATCCTTAGGCTTCACCATTGGGTGGTTTCAAAACACTAGGGATCCCACTTGTGATCCCACTTGTTTTCTTCAGGCCAAAGAGAAGAGTCCATCACTTTGACTTGGAAGAATGTCAAGAGCAGGCCTTCTGTAAAACTCAGCCCGGTCCACGAGTGCCCCACCCACCCACAGGCGGGTCCAGACGTCCATGGGGTTGTCTCATCTCCAGTGGGTGTGCGAAGCACGAGGCCCTCACACCTCCTTAAAGGCAGGAGGCGTCAGGCACAACTGGCAGGTATCCCTGCCCCTTCCCGCTGTGGCCCAGCCCATGAGCGCGCGCGCCTCCCAGCACGTGGAGCCGCCCCCGCTGCCCCGCACACCCCTCCCGCCAGATGTAGTCCAGGCCCAGCTGGGCCCGCGCAGGGATCCCCAGCACGGCCACCTGACTGAGTGCTGGGCGTGCTGCGGCCCGTTGCTTCTGCCTCCGCCGCCGGCGCTGCGGCCAGAGGAAGTCGCCCGCGGAGCACACGGGCCCCGAGAGCGCACTGCGGCCATTATCCGCGGCGCCTCCTAGTGGGTCAGTGGCAAATCCTCCTGGTTCTCGCGAGAGCTCCCCCTCAGTGGGGATTATATAATTTCCCCTAGGCTGGGGTGGGGTGCTGGGGCACATTCCCTCAGAAAAGTTGGGTGCAAGCACAGATGGGAATAGGAGAGTTGTCCCTGGGGGGCACAGGGGGAAGGGGTACTGTCCCCCACTCCCCCCCCACTTAGCTGGACAATGAGTCCTCTTATGCTAATAAGGTACTTACGTCACTTCCGCTCTTTCTCGGCCGCCATTTTGGCTAGGGCAGGTTCGGGGACTCGCTCCGAGGCGCTTGTATTGTCTGCCGAGGGGAGACGCGGGATCGGCCCCCTCCCCCGCCCG